TGAATTTTCTTCCTTTTGCTTGGTAACTTATTCATATTTATCAATACGATTATTATGTTTTGATTCAGTTTATCATCATAATCCCTGTGTATTTTGTTAATTTGATTTTTTTTCTTTATATGATATGTTCTTGGACCTTTTTTATATCTTTTGATATTTGAGATGGTCTTAACTTTGCTGTAGTGGTTAACTTTAGACTTAAACCTTTTAAAAATACTCCAATTCACCTGAGTTCATATTTACACTTTCACTGTCTGGTTTCTTTTTATTTATTTATATTTAATATTTATTTACTTTAGAGAGCATGAGCGGGAGGGATGGAGGGAGAGGGAGGGAGAATCCAAGCAGATTCCACACTAAGCCTGGAGTCTGACATGGGACTTGATCTCACGACCCTGAGATCACAACCTGAGCCTAAACAGTCAGATGCTTAACTAACTGCACCACCCAGGCGCCCTAGTTTGTTAGTTTTTAATGATAATTGACTTTGAACTATTACATTCTCAATAAGTAGAAGCTTATTCTGCTTTTCTCTTTTCCTTCCTTTTTTTTTTCTCCTGTTTTTTAGTTGCATTATTTCTGCCTTAGCAGACTAAGTAACATTCTGGGGGAGCTCCAGGGTGGCTCAGTTGGTTAAGTGTCCAGCTCGGTTTTGACTCAGGTCATGTGTGGGATCCAGCTCCGCACTGGTCTCTGTTGTACTCAGCTCTTGGAGTTGGCTTGAGTCGGCTTGACTTCCTTCCTCTGCTCCTCCATCTTCTCTTGCTCTCTGTCAAATAAATAAATACAATCTTTTTTAAAAAAAAAAAAGTAACATTTTATATTATTTTTTAACCATCATCCACCTTTGTTTTAGTCTTTTTTCTTACATATAGTATATGGTCACCATCAGTCCTTTCTCTAAAGTTTCCACAATGATCTGTTGGTTGGATGAAGCTTATCCTTTAGTAGACGGTTCCAGAAAAGCTCATGGTTTAAGTTGTTTTTTAAGACTTTGTACTTCAGTGACAGGTAGATATAAAATTACTGGTTTGTAATTTTCCTTCTTTGAGTTTCTTGAAAATGCCACTCCATTATTACCTTGTTTTAATGTTGCTTTTTTCCTTTTTTAAGATTTATTTATTTTGGAGAGAGAGCACCCTCTTTTTGGGAGATAGGGAGAGCCTACATGTCCTTCAGTGTTTTAATTGTCTCTTAAAAGATTCTAAATTTCTCTTTGTTGCTTCTGCCCCTTTGCGGTAGGATTCTAGCAGGTTCCTTTCTCTTTCTTCGTTTTGCCCATTTCTCCTCAGAAGTGTCACTTTTCCAAGATTGCCTCGGGTCTTGTGTACACGGATAAGTCCCTTCCTTGTAGTCTGCTCTGGGTCACCAGGACCTTGTTTGTTTATTTGATGATTTTTCCAGTATTTCGGCACTTCCAGCCATGTTCCTTAGGGTTATGAGAGTTCAGTCTTAAGCCTTTAGTTTTCCTCTTCCCTCTGCTCTCCTTGCCCCACGACCCTGCCTTGCCCTCTGCAGAGGGTTAGAGAGCGAGCTTGGGAAATGTCTTTGCTGGAAATTGGTTGGAGTTTGTATGGCTCTATTTCTGCTGGTTACTTTGAAGTCCTGGAATGTGTGTGACGTTACTCTTATTATTGATTTAGATAGTTTGGGAGGATGGTTGGGAGATCTCCGCATATAGTCACCATTACCGCAGCATCTCGGAAGTGTTGTTTACTTTTTTTGTTCCCAGCATCCCCATTCTAGAATGCATGCTGCATTAAAACAGGAACCATCTTTGTTTATTTTCTGCTCTATCTCTATTGCGAGTACATAGAAGATGCTTAGTAAATAATTGTTGAATGTCTCTTCAAAATTTGTGTCTGCTGCCCATTTTTCTGTTGAATAACTAATTCTAATTTTGATGATTTATATGTCATGTTACATATATATGCATGTTATATATATATATAAGCTTGATGATATATTAGGGTAGTGTATCTTGTAACAGCTTAAGATGTGAATCGATGCCAAAGACACTTTTTCTGTAACTTTATTTAGATTAAAAATACAGGATTTTAAATTTACAGAAAATGAGGCTGATCTGGTCCCATTGATGATGGTAATAATTGTGTAAATTTTTTAAATCACTCTAGTGTTTAGGTTCCATATCTAACAAACACAGAGCGTGACCTTCTACCCACTAAAATTTTATACTTGCCATTTTTGCCCTTTAAAGCACTCGAAAGAGAGTTAGCTTCTGGCTTCCATTTTTTATCAGGACTGAACTAGGTCTGTGGATACCCCTGGCACATGCTTACGTGTACTGTCATGCAGTGCAAGTTCCCACCAGCCAGAGCCTCGTGGTGGCCTTGTGGTGGCCATTCTTGCTCTAGGATTATATTCTCTGCCTCAAAATAGACCAGCACTGTCAGCACTGTATCGGACCCCTTTTGTTATCCGACTACTAAAATCCCTCCAATCAGAGAAAGGGCTGATAGTATGAAACTCTGTCTAGAGAGAACAATGCAATTTTAATAGCTGAGGAAATTTGGTGTTTTGCATGCTTCCATTGAAAATGTTTGCATGTTTCATTGATTGGCAAGGAGAACAACGAAGCCTTTCATTTCAAGGAAGGCTGTAGAGGGCATACTGGGTGGTGCCTGGTGAAGTGGGTGTTTTCTAGTAAATGACATTTGGTCTATTTTTATAGTTGGAAACATTCTACTCTTAAGCTTATTGTTTAAGCAGGCCAGAGAGCATGCTGTGCAATCATGAGTGGAATTTTTACATTTGATCCGAGGGTCTGTTTTTTGCCTCCTAGTTTGGAGCCTCCATGAATGTGGCTTCTGAATTTATAAGTATTTTATTGGTTTCAGACCCTGCTCTCAGTTTATTTATTTTCACTTTGTAGATTATTCAAAGGGGAGAGATTAGAAACATACCTGGGAAAATCTAGCAATAAATGCTTTAATATTAGATTGGGATTTCTTAAATTCTTCATTTATTACTCATTAGAGTTGCTGTATTCCTTATATTTTCCCAGGTACTTGCGGCTCTTCTGTGGCATTCTTGCTTAAGCCACAGTCGAGTTCTTTCTGTCAAAGCAAGTGAACATTTCTTTATGTTCAGAATCCTAGATCAGGATTACTTTCTTTTATGTATTCAAGCCACTTTCCTAATTATTTTTCTCAAAAGTGTAATATTTACAAGTATTGTAAGAAAAGTAAATTTTGGAAGAACATGCCCATAATGCTAACAACTCTTTCCTATTTGTACAGGAACTTCCAGTGTTTGTCCTCATGCACACCAGTGTTTGCTCATTTGCACTGTGCTGCTTCATACTCATTTTTTTTTATTTAACATTTACCAGATTGTCTTTTAAAAATTAAAAAAAAATATGTTCCACCACCCTTTAGACTTGATAGAATTTTTAAAGAGATTTACATTTAAACCGTGTATTAACCATGTATTTAAAGCATGAAACATAATATTTTCTTTTTTTTAATTTTTTAATTTATTTTTTTGAAACAATATTTTCTTTTTTTTTTTAATTTTTTTTTTTATTTATTTATGATAGTCACACAGAGAGAGAGAGAGGCAGAGACATAGGCAGAGAGAGAAGCAGGCTCCATGCACCAGGAGCCCGATGTGGGATTCGATCCTGGGTCTCCAGGATCGCGCCCTGGGCCAAAGGCAGGCGCCAAACCGCTGCGCCACCCAGGGATCCCCGAAACAATATTTTCTGAGGCTGATTCATAACATACCACTAACACCAAAATGTTTTAATTGTCCCATATAATTTACATATATGAATGTAATTGGTGTCAATCACTTAAATATCCTTTCTGGAAAGCTCACTTTTACATCTGAGAGAAATTAACTTTCAATTAATTGCTTAGCTGAACAGCTTGTTTAAAGTGTCATAGTTGATTTCTGCTCTTTTTCTCAATTTGAATATTTATTTTTTTAAGATTTTACTTATTTATTTGAGAGAGAGGGGAGGAGGGCACCAGTGGTAGGGAGGGGCAGAAGGAGGGGGAAAAGCAGGCTCCCTGGGGAGCAGGGAGCTGAATGAATGCGGGGCTCTATCCCAGGACCCTGGGATCATGACCTAAGCCAAAGGAGATGCCCAACTGACTGAGCCACCCAGGTACCCCTCAATTTGCATTTTTAACCAGAATTAAAGCTCAAGGTCATTAGATCATTTTATTTTTTTCAGAATCACTTATTATATTTGTCATGTTTAGAAACATTTTTAGAGCAATAATACCTTGTAATGTTTAAGTATGCTAGACTTTATTTTTTTAATTAATATTTTTGTCATGAACTATTACTTCCCTTTTGTCATTTTTTCCTTTTCTTTCCACGATTTCCAGTACACTGGAATTGTCAGCTTTACAATTCTCTTATATATACACATGCTTATCGTAAATATCTGGACTCCCTTTCAGCAGTTAAGCTATTCCCTCTGCTGCATGCACTCGCGTGCACTCGTTGACAGTGAGGCAAAACGAAGATTAACATATTCAGAGGATCCTGAAGCCTCGTGTTAGAGAGTAGTTGTCTTCTCACAGGTCTTTCTCCAGAATTGCCAGTAAGGAGAAAAAAACACTCTCTTTTTCTCTGACTGCTTTCACCTGAGGTGGCTACCAGTTGTGCATTAGGAAAAAGCAGTGGGCAGAAACTGAAATGAGATGTAGCTAATCCACAGAACGGATTGTTAATCCTCATCGGCATTCGAAGAGTCCAGAGTGTTGCCTGGCCCAAAGTAAGCAGTCGGGAAGTTTCTTTTGGGTGGATAGATGGATTCATGAACAAGCCTGTGGGTAAACCATGGATTTCTCAGGCAACAGAATTCTAAGAATCTCCTTAAATTGTGTTAGCTTGAGATTCAGAAGCTCATCCTCCTGCTCATCACACTGCATTAACTACCACCATGTGAGTAATCACAAAGGTTACATTGTTTTCAGAGTCGTGAACTAACCTGTGTATCTATATCACACTTTTTGTCTCTAAAGGAAGTAGAGATTCGGAACAAAGACCTGGAGGGACAACTGTCTGACTTAGAGCAACGTCTGGAGAAAAGTCAGAATGAACAAGAAGCTTTTCGCAATAACCTGAAGACACTCTTAGAAATTCTTGATGGAAAAATATTTGAACTAACAGAATTACGAGATAACTTGGCCAAGCTACTAGAATGCAGCTAAGGAAAGTTAAATTTCAGTGCCAATTGATTAAAAAATATACTGTCTCTCTTCATAGGACTGTTTGGGCTCTGCATCAAGATCGCACATAAAATTTGAATATCACTCCTTCTCCAGGAGGATGATCTTTTGAAAATTGGAATTGTATATTTCAGTGTAAATTTTAGAATTCAGCTTGTAGCTAGTTGGGGAAAAAAAGAGATGAAAAACTTGAACTACAAATTACCTCCATGTATATTATTGGCCATAGTTAACTAGAAAGTTATAAATAGACACTTAATGCAATCTTTTTTTTTTTCTTTCTGATATTAGCTAATGGGAGAATTAACAGTGTCTGGGTCATATCCCCTTTTTGTGTTCAACACAGTGAAGGTTATCTGCTTTTTAAATTTATTTATTTATGATATCTAAAGCTGTGTTTTGTGCAAAAACTTAGTGATGAAAGCCCTGTCTTCTGTTGTAATCTGAATAATTTCTCAGGATATTTTTGCACTGTGAGAAGCAGTGCCATTACCAATTAATTCTTGCCAGGAGTGAGAGAGAGCTGCATCTTTAATTGAAACATACTTACTAGAACTGGGTGTATAGAGTTCTTCCCTTTTTTTATACTGGAAGATATTTCACTCGGTGACCACTCTGGTACACTCTGGTGTTCTTTAATCTTGTCTGCTGTATAGTTTACTTTTCCATATTGATTCCATGTATTTACGAGAAGATATTGTCTCCCATTTTATTACACATTTTAAAGCCAACTAATGAAGGCAGCTGAGTCCCTCGGAAATTTTTCTTTTTAAATTTCTAATAAATTTAACACACAGTACTGAAATACAGCAGCCCGTCATTGACGGTCTGGTCTAGCAATGTTAAGTATATTTACAGAATATGCAGTTACATTTATTTATATATTTTGCAAGAAATCTTTTCTGAATGATCAATGCATTTCAATTTACAACTAATAATGGTAATTGGGGAACTGTTTATTACAGATCATTTTAAGGTGTATAGCAATTTTAAAGGGGATCCATTTCCATCAAACAGCCGATCAGAGGACTATGGGGATTGGAGCCGTGTACTCTGTCTGGGTCTTCACATCAACCACATCTCTAGTCAAACCTCACAAGGCAATATTCTGAACTGTTAACTAGGCATTTCAAACAGGAATTCAATTCAATAGGCTCTTCTCAATGAACAAGTTTTAATGTTGTTTTGATGTAATTTTAAAAGACTTTTAGCAAACATGCATTTCTTTATAGATTTCTTTTAAGAAGCTATTTTAAAAGTAAGCCAAGTGCTGTCTAGCCTGCTTATGGAGTTAGGGATTGCATCAGAGTCCATATATTCTTGCTGTACAATGCCTGTGATGTTGAGGAGGGTTCTTTTTTAAAGTGTATGCCTGAGTCTCTGACTCTATGGAGTCTACAAATGCACTGACTTTGTACCCCAAAATGATGGAATTGTTAAGTACAAAATTAAGCTGATGAATCAATTTGTAACCATTTTTTCCACTCACAAACAGCAACTCAACACTAGACAATTTTGTTTTATATATGTATGTGTATGTATGTAAGTACATACATATTAATTTATATTAGAGTGAAAAATAAATGGTTTGTTTCTAAAGTTAGTTTCTAAAGTGAGTTTTCAGGTGTCTCTGAAAGGTTTATATCAGACACTTAATCATCGTGTATTATATGTGCTATGACATCATGTAAGTTACCTCCATCTATTTTATGATATTTCCTCACCTATTTATTATAGGGAAGGTAATTTAGGTACACAAGCTCAGAGTTGAGATATTTCTCTGATAAATCAGGTAATAAAATTTATTTGATTGATGGAATTTTGAAGTAGATGTGATTTTATCCATCAGTTCCTGAGTAACAGAGCACCAGATTTTAATTTAAATAGGGGATATAATACTAGGGATCAGGGAATTTAGTTACGAAGAGTTAAAAATTAAACAACAACAACAACAGTGTAAGCTGTTGAAGTGGTAAGTGAATTATTTTAATGATGTAATAAGATATTTTTAAATTTTGACATAGTTGTCATTTAATGGGAAAACAACTCACCAAAATGTCTCCACTTGAATTGTATTGATATGTGAGACATGTGTGTAATTCAATATATACAATATATACATATACCCATATGTATATACAGAAAATTATTTTTAATATTTTCCTACTGATAAATTTAAAATTGGAAATTTTGTGAGTTTTTTCCTTGTCCAGTAGGGCCTAATTTTTTTCTTTTTTTAGTGATTTAACAATTTGAGGGCTGCACCTTTAAATTCCCAGATTGTCATTAGACGTGTACAGTATATGGGATAAGGTGGACACAAGTGCACATATAAATAAAATCTTAAGACTATTTTATTCATTTATAGTAGGAGAGTATCTAGAAATCGTCATCTACAAATCATAATTAGGTTGTGTGTCTCTTGTAGTTTTCTCCATTTCTGTATTATATAAATAAAAGTTTGAATATTAAAATCTGATTTTTCCCAGAGACAAGTATTATATAATGTATCTATATTTAGATCAAACTGTGGTAATATATTTATCCAAAAATGATGCTGGGGACTGTAGCCTGAACATGTGGACTTGAAGTGACACAGGAAAGGAGAGCAGAGATCGATCCCATTGTGTATAAGTTATTATATGATAATTATGAATTCTTGTACAAAAAACAACTGAAAAAAGGAAAAACAAAAATACAGTTTTTATTTTGAAATACATTTGTTCTCTGGAGAATGTACTTTATCCTTTTTTCCTTCAGTCTTTTACAGATATTTTTTAAAAAGCATTTAAGTGATGGCAGCAGTTGCTTAACTCTTACAGGTGCTACTGGATTTCGCATTAGTGTGTTATGTTGTGAAATCCTGACTTTGACATAAAAGGTTTTATAAGTATTTCCCTGCCTGGAAAATTAGTTTTTGTTTCTCTTCTCTCTCCTTCTCTCCGCCTATCTACTCTCTCTCTCTCTCTTTTTTCTCTCTTTCTTTCAGCAGATTAAAAAAAGTGCATGAGGTTGCATCCCTCCTTGTCCCTCTAGCAGAACTTCCAGCACCACCATAGATTTAATGTTTTGCTGTCACTGAACTTTGGGAAGCAGTGAGAGGAAAAGCTTGCAGGTTTTTTTCAAGTGGAAATCAAAGGGACGTTCAAAATTAAACCACCACCTTTGAAAACTCATTTTTTGCACTGGTTAAAATTAAATGTATTCTTTCACACATGTGCTAGGGCCATGTTTTTGTTTCACTGTGGAGCGTGCAGCTCAGCTGCTCTCTCCCTGCAGACCTCATCTTCCCTCCAGTCTGGAATCGGAGGCAGGCCCTGGGGAAAATTTGTTTGGTGGCAGTGTTTGTTTTTGTTTTTGGTTTTTTTTTTTAAGAAATCCTTTTGTTTCTTTGGTATCATGATTTTACCATTCCTGATGGTCTGTGCTTGAAGTCATGAAATAGTCTTCATTGAATGTTTGTCTTCTATATGTTCAGCATTGTTTCTTTATCATCCATGAGGTAAACTAATTTACATAAAATCTTAAGAAAACTTTCAGGTAAGAAGTAGTTAGGAATGATATGTTTCCAAAAATTTTCTCAGGTAGGATACTGTGCAATGATTATTAGGAAGATCGTTTCCAAGTGAGAGAATATTTTTTTAATTACTAGAAAAACGACCGTTTTGGAAAGGAAAGAGATGAATCATTCACCTTACTTGAAATTGTGAAAGTGCATTTTTTCTGATTTAAAATTGGACCTTAAATTTAGATGACAGTTTTTCTTTATGGGAAACTGATATGTACATGTCACAGAAATATAAGCATCATTATTGAATTAAAGAAATGTTTTTTGTTGTTTTCTATATATTACCTAGTAAAATAGCTAACGATTTTATCTAAGAAAAACTCAAAAACTCAGCACTACACTGCCTGGTGACTTTTTTTTTTTTTTTAAGAATTTATTTATTCATGAGAGACAGAGAGAGAGAGAGAGAGAGGGAGAGACACAGGCAGAGGGAGAAGCAGGCTCCATGCAGGGAGCCCGACATGGGACTCGATCCCAGGACTCCAGGATCATGCCCTGGGCCGAAGGCGGTGCACTAAACCGCTGAGCCACCCAGGGATCCCTGCCTAGTGACTTCTGCTTAGTACACTGGAGAGAAAAGAAACACTTTATTTTTACCCAAAACAGGAAGAGAAGTTGCATCTGGACTAGAATAGGGAACAGGCCACAAGCTTGTAGTACCTTTCCAGTCAATTCTGATCCCTCTGTCCTTTGGATGAAAGGACACATTCTAGTGGTGGCAAGAGTGACTCTGGAGGAGGAGAGGATATTTTTTTGGAAGCAGGGCCAGCAAAGAGTGGGAGCATCTCACCTCCATCTTTACAGAAGGCACATCAGGCTAGCCAGAGACACCTGCTGCTTTTCACTCAACAAGTTGGGATTGCCTTAGCGAATTTTAAAGGCTTTCAGGAGATCCTGTCATTCGTCTTGTCAGGATTTATAACCTAATCTAAGACACCTGACGTTCACAACTCCCCATTCTGTGGAATTCTGACCTACTTTTGCCAGTTACTTTCACATCACATCTACCCAGGGGTAGAATTACTACTCTGCTTTCTCCTAATAGCACCAAATTAAAGTGATAATGAGTGCCTAATAAATGCAAAATTAAGCCCATTTCTGTACCACAGGAAAATGTCTTTTGTGGATATTTTTTCTATCAACATAAATGATTGTGTCTTGTTATCTGTGCTTTATAACTATGTTACTATATATGCATATATAGGAAGTGTCATGTCTCAGTGACTCATAGATAGGACTTACTTGATTGTTACACCTTAAATGGAATGACTGTTTGATGAAACGTGGCCAGAAAGCAGACGTGCTTGGAGTTAATGCTTTCTCAGCAACTTCAGTATGAAATGGAACAGAAAGGAGTGTTTGTTGAATCTGTGCTATGTGACAGGCACTGTACTAACTGACATTTCATTTTCATATATAGGGGCCTTTGCAGGGGTGTTCCTTTGGAAGGGGGATGAGGGAAAGGAAGGGAAGAGGCTCAAGTGATTGTACCTGCTGTGTTGCCACAGTGATCAGTCTGGTCATCCAGTACACCAGTCAAAAGGTGGAGATCTTGCTCATGTGTCTGGTACAGTTTTTCCCTCTAGCTTAACTGCCTTGCTTCTAGAATATCTCTGTTAGGGCACTTTGTTTGTAGGTCATGTCTATGCGATGTGTTTTAGGCCCGGTTTTTTTTTTTTTTTAATTTACAAACTTCATATAATCCATGGACACTGTGTTTCTTAAACAGAATTCCAGTCAGTAAAATTAAAGTAGGAAACTATTTATAAAGGCCTTGGGAAGACCATTCATCTCTTAAATTCCCTAGTGAAATAAGCTGTAAACCTGTAAAACTCATCCCCCAAGACTAAACAGTAGTTCAGCAGGATGTGGGTTTTGCAGTCCGTGTTGGGTGACTTTGTGGTTCCACAGAAGTTAAGGCCTCTCCATGTTGATCAAGTCATTAGATCGGCTGCGGAAGTATCTCATGGCCTGATCCTTAGATAGGCGATAGCCCTTATATAGATAGAATCATACAGTATTTGTTGTGTCTGGCATATTTCACTTAGCATAAAGTTTTCAACGTTTATTATATCGCAGCACGCATCAGAATTGCATTCCTTCTCAATGCTGAATGATATTCCATTGTGCGGATATACCACATTTATCAGTTCATCTGCTGATGGACTCTTGAGTCATTTCTCCCTTTTGGCACTTGTGAATAATTCTTCATTGATCCTTCATGTAAAGGTATCTGTATGGATCCCTGCTTTGATTTATTTAGGTATATATTTAGGAGTGGAATTGCTGGATCACACGGTAATTTTATGTTTAACTTTTTGAGGAAGGATTGGGTTTCAATTGGGTTAATTTAAAAGACTCACAGAGCAGAATGCCATCTCACTAGAAATCCAGTTGTGGGGCTAATGTCTGTTAATAGATCAGTAAGCAATCCAAGGACATCTAACTTAGGCCTTTTACTCTCTTACCTAAAATATTTATTGAGTACAGGCTATGTCCCAGACCCCATTTTTGAACAGAGACCAGAGAAGGAAGCTTATAATCTAGTGTAGGATTCAGAGAGTTACGTCACAGTACCTAAGCACTGTCATCGTATAAGAAAGCAACTAGAATGAGGGTGCCCAGAGGAAAGAGGAGTTGGTCTGGGTGGAGGTGAGGAGGCAAGGCAAAGCAAGATGAAGAGTTAATTTTGTTTTGAGCCTAAGATGCCTGTGGAATAGCCAAATGGAGATGTGAGCTGGAGGGAGCTTAGGGGAAAAATGTGAGCCAGAGATCGATATTTGGGACTTGTCAGCGTATGTGATGGTAATTGAGGGCATAAGAATGAAAACACAAGACAAAAATGTCTTTTTGGGGCAGGTGCACAGAGAAGGAGAAGGAATGGCCAAAAGATGAGTGGATAGCCAAAGAGTCGGGCTCATGGGGCCTAGAGTAGTTTCAAAAAGCCAGATTTCACACAAATCAACAAATCATGTCTGAAGGCATTGATACTCGAACTGTGTTGAGAACCTTTGTTAAGATTTAATTTTTAAATCTATCTTAACTGAAAAAAATAAAAACCAACAAACTCACATATGCTGCTTGTAACATTTTAAAACCTTGAAACCAACTAACAGGAGTTCCAGGTAAACGGTTTTTGTACAGATGCCACAACAAGGCCATCTCTGGTAAATTGAAGAGCATCTTGCTATTTCAAGGTGAGTTATTAAAGAATTCCACTGCTTAGTGTGAATTAGGACTTTCTCAACACTCTGCAGCTGAAACAAAATACAGAAATCAAGTCTTGTACATAACCTAACTTCTTCTTAAATAAACCCAGACTCAAATGTTTGTTGTTTTCTAAAAATAACTTCGCTTTTCTTACTTTACTGGTCAAATTAAGTGTCCTACACCATCCCTTCTGTTGATGTGTTGGTTTTCCACGTAGCTGTCATTCCTAAAAGGTTGCAGGGACAGAGGGCCACAGATCAAAGGAGGTTGACACTTACCTCGTAGAACTTGGCTTATTTCTCTGTGGCTCACCTCTCTCTCCTCAAAGTCAAGTTGTAGGGGCTTACATGTATTTCCTGTATCTTTTTTAATGTGTTTTTCGGATACTTAACTCACCACTAGGACCAGGTGGTTTTGTGTTTGCATTGCTGTGGGAAGTTTATAGAGAGTTAACATTGATGTGATCTTAAATGATCTTTACTCTTTTTTTCATATTGATTCGTAAATAATTGTATACAAATTATCTCTGGTAGAAGTGATCATAATGACAACAACAGGAAAAAATGCTCTTTGTATTTGGTTTTAGATTGCTGTGTGGTATTTGATTTTTATTTCTCGTTTAAGTTAAAATTAGCTTGAATTCCTTGAGTAGACAAAGCTTGCACTACTTAGGCAACAAATGAGAGCATGTTAGACATTCCAGGAAGAAAAGAGGAGCTACTGGTTTTCAAATTTGGCTCCAAATAACCCATAAAAATTTGCAAATCACTTGTGAATTGTCAAATAAACTCTACCTTTTAAACCATTTTTGTTTATATTTTTCTATTTAGTGATTAATCCTGGTCTCTTTTAGCAGAGCCTTTATTTTATACTCTGTGCACTGAAATCCTGTGTTATATGTAAAAATATAAAATACAGAACTTCACGGTCTATGGCTCATG